CTTTGTAAACCCTAGAAATGGTTGTGCGTGAAAATCCCAGTAACTGAGCAGATTGTGAAATACTCAGACCGGCCCGTCTGGCACCAACAACCATGCCACGCTCAAAATTGCTTAAATCACCTTTCTTTCCCATTCTGACATTCAGTTTGGAGTTCGGGAGATTGTCTTGACCAGGACCACACCCCTAAATGCATTGAAGCAAATGCCATGTGATTGGTTGATTAGATAATTGCAATAATGACAAATTGAACAGGTGTTCCTAATAATCCTTTAGGTGAGTGTATGTGTGTTTGTGTGTCTGTGTGTCTGTCTGTCTGTCTGTCTGTCTGTGTGTGCCTGCGTGCTTGTATTTAACACATTGTGTTTTTCAGGTCCCTACAATATAAATCTCTATTTTATAAAAATCTGTCAATGCAATCAAAAAACTAGAATTGTCAAAAGCCTTGTGTTTTGTTTGGATATTTATAGCTAAGATTAGGACTGTGTAAGGGTTAGGGTTATCATAATTACGATTAGGGTTATGCCTTTAAAAATGAATGGAGAGTCCCCACAATGTTAGGGATATATGAATTTTGTGTGTACATGTGTATTTTTCTATTTGGCTGTGTCATGCATATAGCTTAGCTATAATTCAGACAACCATGCACCCTTCTACCAATAAAGAGTGACCACAGATCTGATTACAGATCACAGCCTGGTATGACAAACTTAAGTCAATAACAGTCATTCAACTGCCCTGATAAAGTCACAGAACTTTCATTTAATATTGCACTCATCTGAAAAGATTGTCATTTTCTTAAAAGAAACCTGTCATTTACAGTATTACCTGTGCTATACTTGAACTACATTGTGATAATTAAAATTAGTTTTCCATTCACTGGTCATACTATCATCCTTTAACCATTAAAACAGAATCTTATATAGAGCACTCTGCACTTTGCAGCTCACCAGCATGATCTCCAACAGTTTTTTTTTTAACTCTTCCCGAGTTCACTTATCTGCCCTGTACTTTTTAACCATTTGCACCTTTTTCATTTATTTGGTATAATTCCTTTTGATAGAAATGTTATTAAAAATTATTTCTAAAACGGAGTTGGAGTGTAAATATTGTCAAAAACTACATTACCTGTATTCACATTTAATAACCTGGCCCACTCACTGTTGTTAAGTAGAACTACAGCTTCCAGCTTAAAGTACAGGCAGAATTTTAGTGTTTCACAATTGTTCTGCCTGCTTTTAACTGAAAACCCTTCCAGCCAATAGATTATCATTTCACAAATGTTACTGTAAAAAAGTTCACTTATGTCTGAGCTTGGCAGCAGTGGGGATGAGGTAGTTCTGGCAAATATGTAACTGCTTCCAAATACACACACTCATTAAAGAGCATTGTAAGCTTGAAATGACACACTGGAAGACAATGAAATGTAACACTGAAACATACTGAAATGACGCGTTGTCCAAGTCTGCCGTTGACATGCTGCAACAAACCTGTGTTTCTTTCTCTTTCTTTTAGGTTTGAAAAGAGGTGTGTGTTCGCAAATAAATCACTTTCCAGAAGATGCTGACTATGACCACGACGGGGCAGAGTATCTCCTACGTAAGAGAGTCAGGATTTAAAGCGCCAATAACACTTTTCAACTGATATTAAAGACAAGGCAGCTGAAGAAGCTGGCTAGCCTCAGGGACATAAGAGATTAGCATGTAGCACTTAAACCAAGAATGAAAACCAAGGGTGGGGAGCCCATTTAGAAATGGGAAGACCATTTATGTTAGTCTTAAATATTCCTGTGTGGACTTATAGATAGGTTTTTTAATTTACTTGAAACACAGCACCAGTGAAATGACTCCATGTGAAATTTTAAGATGGAATACAGTGCATGACAAAAGTCTTGTCACTTAACAAAGTTGTAGGAACAACAAATAATAACTTGACCTGTAGTTAATCAGTTGGAATCAGAAATGGCTTATAAGAAAGGCAGAGCCCTCTAGATTATGCTTATTATACCAAAATAAAGTTTTGCATCATTCATTGAGTTTTGTCATGTAATTTGGACAGAAAGGTCAACTTTTGCCTGGACAAACGTCTTGTCAAATACAAAAATAATGTAGAAATTATACATATACTTTATTTAGAATTCACAAACATGCTACAATAACATCAGAACATAAAGTCATTGTGCCTTGGAAAAAAGAATTAATAACATGTATGACTTCCATGAGCTTGGAAGACTGCATCCATATGTCTTGGCAATGACTGAAATAACTTGTTGATGTCATCTGGAATGGCAAAGAAAGCAGTCTTGTAGGACTACCAGTTTGTCTAGATTCTTTACTTTGGTCTTCCAAGCCTCCTCCTTCATCTTACCCCAGACATGCCTAATAATGTTCATGTCTGTTGACTGGGCTGGCCAATCCTGGAGCACCTTGATCCTCTTCAGTTTCAGGAACTTCAATGTGGAGGCTGAAGGATGAGAAGCTGCAGAATTTGCCCTCTCTTATGGTTTGGAATGTAATGGGCAGCAAGAATGTCTTGATACTTCAGGCTGTTGATGTTGCCATCCACTCTGCAGATCTCTCGAACACCCCCATACTGGATGTAACCCCAAACCATGATTTTTCTGGATGAATCTTGGGTCCATTTCTGGGTGAATCTTGGGTCCATGCAGGTTCCAACAGGTCTCCTGCAGTATTTGCGGCATTTGGTATGCAGTTCAATGGATGATTCGTCAGAAAAATCAACCTTCTGTCACTTTGCCACTGTCCATCCTTGCTGCAAGCTGTGGGCCTTGGCAAATTCAACACGCTTTTTTTGTTGTGTTCTCGTTAATGCTGGTTTCTGAGCACTAATTCGGCCATGGAGACCACTGCGTTCGAGAATTCGAGAAACTGTTCTTGTAGACACAGTGGTTTCTGGTGACCAGTTCTGATGTAGCTCTGCTGCAGTTGAAAAAGGGTTGGCCCTGGACTTTCGAAGCAACAAAGGGTCCTCTTGAAGAGTTGTCTTACGGGGTCTGCCTGACCTGGGCTTGTCATGAACATCACCAGTTTCTTCATATCATTTTTTAATCCTCTTCACTTGATGTTTGGATACATTAACGATGTCTGCCACCTCAGCAGCAGACTTGGTCTGTGGTTGAATCTTCGGCATGTTGTCAGAAGTCAGGTTGCACTTCTAGTGAAGGTCTGGTGTGCTGGGGTTCTTTTTATACACACTTGGGATTATGTTAATTTCAGTATTTGTCACAGGAGAACCTCTAATTGAATCATTAAAAGACATGACAAGACTTTTGTCCTTGCTAAAACAGGTGTTATGGACTTTAACAAGCTGTGAACATCAGGACACTTTTTGACTGTTTCATTTTGCACCCAGTTATTAATGTGAAAGCCCTTGGCATTAAATTGATCCATTTATTGTAACAATTGATTGATTAGAAATGAAGTTATATGTCTTTTTAATTTACTATGTCCTTATGTAACAAGACTTTTGTCAATGAATATAGATGATTCTTGGACTTCCACCAAATCTCAGGAAGAAATGCCATACTAACATGGAGTCTCCTGAGTAATGTTAGAACCAGGAAATGGTATGCACATTATAATAAACTTGGACTGAGGACTTCATTACATTTCTGCAGGGGTGGTGCGAGCCTCCAGCATCTTTCCCATCCTCAGTGCCATACTCCTCCTGCTGGGGGGGGTGTGTGTGGCTGCCAGCCGCTTTTACAAGAGCAAGAGAAACATCATTCTGGGGGCAGGCATTCTCTTTGTGGCTGCAGGTGATGTAGCAGTCTGTGTCCCCTATGGCTTTGTCAGGTCTTCATTTACAGTCGTCATGTTAATTAGATCACTCTATCACTGTTCTTCTTCTCCTAAAATGTCTTTCTGCTTCTTGTTCCTCAAACTGCACATCCTCCAGGCCTCAGTAATATCATTGGTGTCATCGTCTACATCTCAGCAGCGCTGAGCGACATCTCCCCCAAGAAGGATGAGGACAAGAAGTGGCACTACTCCTATGGCTGGTCGTTTTACTTTGGGGGCCTGTCCTTCATCCTGGCGGAAATGGTGGGTGTGCTGGCCGTCAACATCTACATTGAGAAGAACAAGGAGCTTCGCTGTCGCTCACGCACAGACCTCTTCAAAAGCACCACCCATGCCATGCTGCGCCTGCCCAGCTACCGCTTCCGCCATCGCTCCCGCTCCAGCTCACGCTCAACTGACCCCTCACGGTCCCGTGACCCCTCCCCCGTTGGGGGAGGGGGCAAGAATTTTGGTATAACCCCCTCGGCGATTCTGTCTCAGGGGCCAGCAGGGCCCATGTCTGTCTCCACCCTACCCAACCCTCACTCCCATTCGCACTCCGCCCTAGGGGGTGACATCTCCATGTACACCCTTTCGAGGGATCCCAAACTGGTAGGTTTGGGCACTCTAGGGGCACCACCAGTCTATGGGACAGTGGATCGAGCCACTTTGTACCAGCTACATAATTGTTTTCCAAAAGAGGGGGGTGGAGGTGGTGGCGGGGTTCTCCTCGGGGGTACTTTGCCTTCTCTCTCCAAGTCCAACAACCCTTTATCAGTCCAGAATTCTTCCAATTCCAACACCCCTCTAAATACCTCAACCTCCTCTGCCCCATCGTCTCAGCCCCCACCTCTGCTGTCATCTACAATGGAGAGAGACAGGGGCATGAGCACCCTGGATAGGCTCGGAAAAGCAGACCGAGAGAGGGAGGCGTCTACCACCAACACACTGAACAGGAAGACCACGCCAGTTTAGAGATACAGAGAGCGAGGCTGGAATCATAGACAGTGAGCAACAATCGGCTGAGAATAATGCAGTGAATGCAGAGGTGTGACTAAGGAAAAGATTAATAACAACAAGAATAACAACAAGAATTTAATCTAAAAATGATTTATAGTGAAACTTTTTCATAATTTTTCATTATGTGGTATGATTGTAACTTTTGAGTATCTCCATATTACTGTTGTTGTTATTGTTGAATTTATTAGTGGGTTGTTCTGTAATTAGAATGTTAATTTTTAATGATGCATTTTTAAGTTTTTTTTTCTTTTTAAATTGAGAATATACTATAACTGTGATTTCTTGCACAATGACACAAAACCTGATGATGTTAGTGTCAACATTTGTGCATTTATCTAAGTTAGGTGCATTTATGTTATTAAATACGATTATTTTGTAGAGGTTTATTTTGTGAAATTTAAATCTGAATTTAATTTTTCCTGACATTTTGTTGTTACTGTCTGAAAACTCTTCTGCTGGACTATTTTATTATGAATTAATCTGCTATTGTTAGGGCTGGGACCACCACACACACATTACTGCTCTCTTTCCCAGTTTATATCTTGTAATTCAACAAAGATTGACTTGTAACTGAGCCCCAAGGAAATCCAGGAATAGGCTGCCATACCATTTTTCTCTACACTTTCCTGGTGTAGTACCAAAAGATAAATTATGTATTGACATTTATTGATTTTACAGGAAAACATGCAAAAAAAAAACATTTTCCTGTCAAGCTACTAAAGGATTCTTAACTGGTTTTGAATAAAAACCTGTACCTATAGCACCAATAAAACAGACCGCAGTAATTCCTAAAACCATTGCCTCAGGATGTATTACCTCACCAGTCATAATCCGTAAAAATAAGTTTGTTGGCTTGTTAGCTAAGAACGTTATCATTTCTGTACATTTTAATTGTTATGAAGTGAAATTAGCTTCTTAAGAGAGTATTCCATTAGCTGTACTGAAACTATCAATGTCCCAGCCCTAAATTATGCCAGTAATAATCAAGTCATGGTTCATTCTTATTGTTATTATCAGAACTGAAAATGATTGAAAGTCTAAGAGAACAGTAGTATGATTGGAGGGCCATCACAATTATTCAAATCATGTAACGACAACAATCAGGAGAATAACAAAAAACAGAGAAAACAAAGTACATCTTGGTGTTGATTACGCAAACATAATTTTTTAATGGTGGTATCAACATTGTACACATATACACACAAACATAACATGTACACATATGCATACATTACCTACCACAACAAAACATGACTGAGGGGCTCTTAAACACATTATCCAAGACAATGCTGGTACATTAGTGTTAATGAATTATCATATGTTCATTTGTAATATGTTTAGTTACAGAACTATCTTCTAATCTGTTGTCTTACCACAGTTTCTGTGTGCCTTTGGAACATTTTTTTTTTGTCATTTTGTGGATTGTAGGTGTTCAAATGCATGGATCACTGAGGGATCTCCCTGAGGGGTCCTCTTTTTACTCGTTAGGGTAGCTAGGTACTACAGACAGCAGCCTTTGTAACAGAGCATTCATGGCACCAAATCCTTTGGGACAGTTCATGGTGCCAAAAAAGAATAATGATTTTAATGAAAGTAATATTACATTTAAGTTACGGGAGATCATGTTGTCACACAACAGTGAAATAAAAGCTGGACGACAAGTTGTATCAGAGGGTTTCTGCTTGCGTAGATGTTCATCCATTATAATCACGAATAGTATTTAAATAGTAAATAGTAAGTTTTTCTTTGATAGGAAATTATGGATTTTTGGAAACACTTCTCACATCTACAAACAGCATACAGTTAACTGAATATTAAAGGGAAACTATTGGGCTCTATTCCACTTTTCTTAATTTTATTTTTGGGGTCTAGTAGAATAGATTTACATGCTTGAGTGTTACAGTCTGAAACACTCTGTTTGAGCTTTCAGCCCCATCCACATTCAGCCCAGTGTGCTCTGATTGATCAGCTTGCCCTACAAGTTTTGCCCCTGTTTAATTGCCTATTGGAAATCCTATTGGCAATTAAAAAGGTCAATAGGATGTTGGGTTACATTTCTAGGTGTGTGCAGATGCTAAGATTACTAAGATTACATATATCAAGATTACAAGAATTCCTTGGTAACACCCCACCTGGAATATTGTATGCAGGTTTGGTCACATTACCTTAAAAAAGACGTTGTTGCCTTAGAAAGGGTTCAACATAGTGCTACAAGAATGATTTCTGGTCTTAGAGGAATATCTCATGAGGAGATGTTAGCTGAGCTGAATCTGTTCAGTCTCAAGCAAAGGATACTAAGAGCGGACATGATCCAGTTATATAAGATTCTAATAGGTATGGATGCTGTTCAACCAAATAGTTACTTAATATTAGTTCAAATACTCCCAGTGAGTAAGCCATAGGCAACAGTGGCAAGGAAAAACACCCTAGAAGGAAAAAACCTTGGAAGGGACCAGATTCAAAGGGGGAGCCGAAATACAATATCTTGAGGCCATATGTGCAAATTAGTGGGAGAACATTTTAAACTGGATTTAAGAAAGCACTTTTTTACACAGCGTGTAGTTAGATATGGAATAGTCTACCTGTTTGTGTAGTGCAAGCTAAAACCTTGGGTTCCTTTAAATCAGAGTTAGATAAGATTTTAACAACTTCAAGCTATTTGAATTCTGCCCAAATCAGCTTGATGGCATCCTCTCATTTGTAAATTTCTTATGTTCTGTCTTGCATTCTATAGACAGATCCTAGCAGGTATGTGGGCAATAAGGATTGTGTTATGAGGTGACCTCATCATGTCACAGAAGTAAGGGCTGGAATTCTAACAAGGCATTTCAGGAAGAGAAGATTCTCATTTCAGAGAAGAGTGGTATCTCTCGTAACAGTTGCTCCTTTTGATGTGAATTTTAGGCCTTAAGACTTTGCAGACTGTTTTCATGCACATAAAGCTATATAACACACTAAAGGACAATGGAAAAAAACAGAAAAGCATAATGTATCCTCTTTGAATAACCAATGATTTTGTTTCTTTCTTTTAGACAACTAGATGTGATTTACAAGGTCTAAGAAGTACGATATGTGGAGGGCTATGAATTTCAGCTGACACCAAGAGACTTCCATTCTTTCTTACAGTATGTCTGTTTGAAAAGCTAAAATATCATAATTGTTAAAATACATTCATATTGTAGCAATGTTATTTGTTTAACTTTCTGTACTGGTGTAAAGGTGACAAGCAATGCAAGTAAGCAGCTGAGATTACGAAAGACAGTGTGAAGGCGGCTTTTAAGGGCAAAGATCACTTCTACCCCTACTCACATAAGCAAAAGGCACAGAGAGTGAGTTTACCACAATATCATAAGCTACTAGGAAGCTACTTTATAAGTCCTTGAAATGCGTCCGTTCGCATTATTTTCATGTCAGTAATATTGATAATTTACATTATTCCCTGCCGTTTTGGCGAAAGGTGGAGAACTTGCGCAACCTGAAACCCTGATGAGCCAACTGCCTAGTTGCTTCCGTAAAAATACAGAAGTTGTAGGTGGCTAAATGTGTGTTACCATGAGAAACGTTGACCATTTGATTTTTTCTGACAGCCGACTAGCTGTGTTTTACATTGCTTGCTTTCTAGCTAGAGTACTAGCTAGCTAGCTCAAAATAAAACAGTAGTTCAATTGTCAAGTTGCACAACCTTTAGCAATAAAGGTTTCTAATTAACATGTTTTGTTTTTTTCCTCTTTGCAGTATTATATTTGTGCATGTGAAGAGTTTAAACACAGGATGTTTTCTTATCCACCAATAATGTTTCTGGTGAATGAATGAGCCCATAATGAGAGAAACTGATGAATACATATGCATCCTGTCATCTACCAACCTCTTATCCAGAGTCATGGAGAGCCTGGAATCTACCCAAAGAAGCACACAGGACATGGTAGTGGTACAGTTGCAAGAAAAAGTATGTGAACCCTATGGAATTATATGGATTTCTGCACAAATTGGTCATAAAATGTCATCTGATCTTCCTCTAAGTCACAACAATAGATAAACACAATCTGCTTAAACTAATACCATGCAAAAAATTATATGTTTTCATGTTTTTATTGAACACACCATGTAAACATTAACAGTGCAGGTGGAAAAAGTATGTGAACCCTTGAAGTTAATAACTGGTTGACCCTCCTTTGGCAGCAATAACCTCAACCAAACGTTTCCTGTAGTTGCAGATCAGACCTGCACAATGGTCAGGAGTAATTCTTGACCATTCCTCTTTACAGAACTGTTTCGGTTCAGCAATATTCTTGGAATGTCTGGCGTGAATCGCTTTCTTGAGGTCATGCCACAGCATCTCAATTAGGTTGAGGTCAGGACTCTGACTGGGACACTCCAGAAGGCGTATTTTCTTCTGTTGAAGCAATTCTGTTGTTGATTTACTTCTATGCTTTGGGTCATTGTCCTGTTGCATCACCCATCTTCTGTTGAGCTTCAGTTGGTGGACAGATGGCCTTAAGTTCTCCTGCAAAAGTCCTTCATAAACTTGAGAATTATTTTTTCCTTCGATTATAGCAATCTGTCCAGGCCCTGACACAGCAAAGCAGCCCCAAACCATGATGCCCCCTCCACCATACTTCACAGTTGGGATGAGGTTTTGATGTTGGTGTGCTGTGCCTCTTTCTCCACACATAGTGTTGTGTGGGTCTTCCAAACAACTCAACTTCGGTTTCATCTGTCCACAGAATATTTTGCCAGTAGTGCTGTGGAACATCCAGGTGCTCTTTTGCAAACTTCAAACGTGCTTGAAACATGCTTCAAATGGCTTCCTCTGTGGTGTCCTCCCATGAACTCCATTGTTGTTTAATGTTTTACGTATCGTAGATTCGCCAACAGGGATGTTAGCATGTGCCAGAGATTTTTGTAAGTCTTTAGCTGACACTCTAAGATTCTTCTTCAACTCATTGAGCATTCTGCACTGTGCTCTTGCAGTCATCTTTACAGGACAGCCACTCCTAGGGAGAGTAGTGACAGTGCTGAACTTTCTCCATTTATAGACAATTTGTCTTACCATGGACTGATGAACATCAAGGCTTTTGGAGATACTTTTATAGCCCTTTCCAGCTTTATGCAAGTCAACAATTCTTAATCGTAGGTCTTCTGAGAGCTCTTTTGTATGAGGCATCGTTCACATCAGGCAATGCTTCTTGAGAAAAGCAAACTCAAAGACTGGTGTGTGTCTTTTATAGGACAGTGCAGCTTTAACCAACACCTCCAATCTCATCTCATTGATTGGACTCCAGGTTGGCTGACTCTTGACTCCAATTAGCTCTTGGAGATGTCATTAGCCTAGGGGTTCACATACTTTTTCCACCTGCATTGTTAATGTTTACATGGTGTGTTAAAAAAAAACCATGAAAACATATAATTATTTGTGTGGTATTAGTTTAAGCAGATTGTGTTTGTCTATTGTTGTGACTTAGAGAAAGATCAGATGACATTTTATGACCAATTTGTGCAGAAATCCATATAATTCCAAAGGGTTCACATACTTTTTCTTGCAACTGTACACCAGTTTATTGCAGGCCACGCATTTAAAGAAGCCAGTTAACCTTGCTGCATGTCTTTTAATCTCTGTTATGGATTGGCGTCCGGAGAAGCAGCACAAACAACCGTGTAATCGGGTAAATGGGGTTTTATTTAGGAAAACAGGACTAAACACAAACAAACGTCAATGACCATACAGGGGTGTGACAGACACAGAAGCAAATACAAGAATCAATTAACAATGACTAGAAACAGCTGAGAACACCGGGATTTCACATGAGGTATGAAGGGGGCGTGGCACACAGGAGGACTGGGCGAGCAGGTCATGAAAGAACCCCCCCAAAGGCACGAACACCGGGTGCACCAAAGGGATGGAACCGGGGATAGCACAGGACAGGACCTGGGGAACCAAAAGCAAAAACATCAACGGACCATGGGAAACAGGATCGACACGCAAAACAGGGACCAAGACAACAACCAGGACAGACAGACAAAGGGGAGCACCGAGAGACACAGGAACACCAAAAACGGAAACACAGAACCCAAGGAGGGGGACAACAAAAGGACAGCAGGAGGAACAAAGGGACCAGGAGGGAACAAGGGCGGAGCAAACACAAGGGGCAGGGAAGCAAAGGGTGGCGGGGAGCAAGGAGCCGGAGGGAACCCCGGCTGGCGGGAGGCAGAAGCGGCATGGGTGGCAGGCGACCGCGAGGTAGGAGCCGGAGGGGACGACGAAGGGGGCGCGGAGGAAGACGGAGGAACAGACGGAGGGGGCAAGAAGGGAGGCGAAGGGGACACCAGAGGAGGCGAGAACGGAGCAGAAGGGGACACCGGAGGAGGTGAGAAGGGAGCTAAAAGCCGAGGCAGGTGAAGGTGCAGCCACAGCCAGCGAAGGCACTGGCGACCGTTGAGTCAGAGCAGGGGGCACCACAGGTGACCGCCAAGCCGCTGGAGGCAGGACTGAAGGCGACAAACGAGACTGCCACAAGAGCAACCTGAGGCGACCGCCGAGCCAAAGCCAGGGGGACCGAAGGTGAGCCAGGGGGTAGGGCGGGTGGGACCTGACCCCTACGCAAGTGTCCTCTCCCCCTTCTGGACACAGAGAGTCGAGGTCCAGGCCAGGATCTGCCACGCTGGGGCAATGGTGGGGGCAACCCACCAGAGGGGCTCACCGGGGCAGTCAGTGATATCCCCTAGGGATCCCAGTCAAGCTCCTCCCCCCCTGGAGATGGAGGAGGAGTGTCAGTCCGATGGTCCGGGACCTCCTTGGGGACAGTAGCAGGGGCTATGGGAATTAGAGCAGGAACAGGGTCCAGGGGATCAGGAACCACAGGGAGCGGAGCAGACACAACAGGCAGGTGGGCTTCGGGCGCAGGCGAAGCAACAACAGGCAGACGGGCGACAGGTTCCTGCTGGCACGCCTTAGAGGAAATGGTGGAGATTGAGACAGCCCCTATGGAAACGCTCAGTGCATCCTCCGTTTTTTTTTTTCCCGTGAGCAGGCGCTGCGAGGTCCGGCAGCTTGCACGGCAAGGGAGGAAGGAAGCCGCAGTCTATGGTCACCTGCCGGAGCACATCCTCAGCAACCCAGCTTCTAAGCCGGGTAAAATGCATCCGCACCTCCTCCGCGAGGTGCGGATCCTCGGAAGGGGAGATCCGTTCAAGTATCTCCCTCAACCGGTGAGTGATGGCTCGCGCCGTGGGGTCCTCTTTTCCCTCGGGCTGTCCAAGCCAGTACTTTACCTCATCTAACAGATCAAAGTATTCCGCCTCGCTGAGGGGAGGCATCTTGTCTCTTAGTCTGGTCATTCTGCTATGGATCGGAGTCTGGACAAGCAGCACAAACAACCGTGTAATCGGGTAAACAGGGTATTATATAGGGAAACACCAAAACACAGAACTAAATGCAAACAAACGTCAATGACCGGACAGGGGTGAGACGGACACGGAAGCACTAAATACAAGAGCTAATTAACAATGAATAGAAACAGCTGAGAACACTGGGATTTCATATGAGGTAAGAAGCGGGTGTTGTGACAGTGGCCGCGGGCCATGGGGAGCCCGTGCAAGCTAAAAGCCCCTCTCTTTCTCAGCCTCCCTTGCCTCAAACTCGTATTGATTGTAGCTGGGCAGCCATGCTGGATTTTAATATTTAAGCATGAATTACTTATTTCATTCGTTCAAATATATTTCAATTCAATAATGAAATACTATATATAGGAGCAGAAAGTCACTGTAATGCTATGAGATGAAAAGTCAAGCCTGGAAAAGCAATTCCCTGATAAACATGACCATGCTTATGCTCAGCAATCTATTTGAGAGCACTGTTGCCATAGGGTCAGTTGTGGCATGTTATAGCACCTGTGTGTCACTGCCTGCTGCTTCTCCTCCTGCTCAGTGTGGGATGCCCGTGGACTACTGGACCCAAGCCGGCTCGCTATGCAACAGAGGGGCAACAGCTCACATCTCTTATTTCCATTCACATGCGCAGCAGCAGAGTAACAACAGTGTCCCTCGGCATCACAGAGAGTGATACTGAGCTAAAATTAATTAGCAGAAACCAGCGAGAAAGCGAACCTAAACAGTATTGCAAGGTGTGTTGATTCCAGGATTACTTGATTTGTGCCTTTTCCAGTGGGTACCAGCCATCCAGAAGCTGCTGTCTGAGAGGGTAGTAGTTATGCTCCTAGTAGTGCAGGCCCAAGACCAGAAGGTCCACGTTGCAAAGCTGTGCAGATTATCAGCTTGACCGTTGGGTAGGGGTGGAGCTGCTGGCAAGGCTGAAGTCTTTCCATATGACAACCTTCTCCCCAGGCACTTGGTCTCAGGTTCCATACCCCACTCTACAAAAGCTGTCCTTTAGCTATGTCTCCCAGAGAATGTGTGTACTGTAGTACCTATGTGAGCGAGTAGGGGTACCCATATATATGTACTGTAGGCATCTGGTCAGTTCTGACAAGATGAGATCACGTGTAGTTCGTGTCTTGTCAGACAAGATCTTTATCCCCAGTTTGTATATACAGTTTGTATATGGTTTGAATACCACCAGTTAAGTGAAGGATTGGCATGTTTGCCTATTGTTACAGTACACTCATTCATTGAGCACACGACACCATAGTATAGATTTGTTGTTTGATCTTTATCTGGCTTTTTTTCCACATGTCCAGCTCCTTCATGGCATG